TGCATGTCTTACGTGGTGCGTGCCACATTTTATGATTTTATTGCCCGTATTGTGTTATTCTTACGCAAAATTGTGTGATATTTGCTTAACCACGGATTGCGGATGTTGTTTTCTTTTCTTCATTGCTTCGAACAAATGTACGACTGACATAACACAACTGTTTGCTACTGATGTTTGCTCTTCGTTGCTGTATGCTGTTGTTGTTAAATTTATTCCCTTGCCATCATCATACGTATTGTTTGTAGATTGGTGAAGAGGCCATGGCATGCCGTAACAATGCTGTGGTATTTAATATGAGCTATTTTTGTAAACTCTATTTGGAAGGACCCGATGCCCAAAAGGCCGCCGATTGGATATTTTCGGCGAATACTAATCGCGATGTTAAAAAGTAAGTTTTCTTTAATTAGTTTTTTTTTATAAATCTAAGTACAATTGTACTTAAAAAGTAAAGCTTGACTTCATTGTTTAGAGCAACAATGTCAAGGTGTTAAGATCATTCAACTGTAGATATTTTCTTTGTATTTTAAGTTCATCATCATTATCATATTTTATAATTTAAGTTGCCATCTAATTATTTTGGGGGATTTTTCTGCGTGTTTGTTTTCAGTTTTTGGAATTTTAATTTTTTGTAATTAAGTTTATTTGAATTAATTTGTAAATATTTTTTTCGCTATTACACTGTGAGGAAACAACTGTATTTGAGTTGAATGTCTAAATCGATTCTAGTTATATCTCAGTTCAATTCCATTTCAGTTCTAGATAAGTTCTAATTCAGCTAATGTTCAGTTCTAGTTCAGTTCTAGTTCAGTACAGTTCAGTTTTAGTTCAGTTCTAGATCAGTTCTAGTTCGGTACTAGTTCAGTTCTAGTTCAGTTCTAGTTCAATTCTAGTTCAGTTCTAGTTCAGTTCTAGTTCAGTTCTAGTTCAGTTCTAGTTCAATTCTAGTTCAGTTCTAGTTCAGTTCTAGTTCAGTTCTAGTTCAGTTCTAGTTCAGTTCTAGTTCAGTTCTAGTTCAGTTCTAGTTCAGTTCTAGTTCAGTTCTAGTTCAGTTCTAGTTCAGTTCTAGTTCAGTTCTAGTTCAGTTCTAGTTCAGTTCTAGTTCAGTTCTAGTTCAGTTCTAGTTCAGTTCTAGTTCAGTTCTAGTTCAGTTCTAGTTCAGTTCTAGTTCAGTTCTAGATCAGTTCTAGATCAGTTCTAGTTCGGTTCTAGTTCAGTTCTAGTTCAGTTCTAGTTCAGTTCTAGTTCAGTTCTAGTTCAGTTCTAGTTCAGTTCTAGTTCAGTTCTAGTTCAGTTCTAGTTCAGTTCTAGTTCAGTTCTAGTTCAGTTCTAGTTCAGTTCTAGTTCAGTTCTAGTTCAGTTCTAGTTCAGTTCTAGTTCAGTTCTAGTTCAGTTCTAGTTCAGTTCTAGTTCAGTTCTAGTTCAGTTCTAGTTCAGTTCTAGTTCAGTTCTAGTTCAGTTCTAGTTCAGTTCTAGTTCAGTTCTAGTTCAGTTCTAGTTCAGTTCTAGTTCAGTTCTAGTTCAGTTCTAGTTCAGTACAGTTCAGTTTTAGTTCTAGTTCAGTTCTAGATCAGTTCTAGTTCGGTTCTAGTTCAGTTCTAGTTCAGTTCTAGTTCAGTTCTAGTACAGTTCTAGTTCAGTTCTAGTTCAGTTCTAGTTCAGTTCTACTTCAGTTCTAGTTCAGTTCTACTTCAGTTCTAGTTCAGTTCTAGTTCAGTTCTAGTTCAGTTCTAGTTCAGTTCTAGTTCAGTTCTAGTTCAGTTCTAGTTCAGTTCTAGTTCAGTTCTAGTTCAGTTCTAGTTCAGTTCTAGTTCAGTTCTAGTTCAGTTCTAGTTCAGTTCTAGTTCAGTTCTAGTTCAGTTCTAGTTCAGTTCTAGTTCAGTTCTAGTTCAGTTCTAGTTCAGTTCTAGTTCAGTTCTAGTTCAGTTCTAGTTCAGTTCTAGTTCAGTTCTAGTTCAGTTCTAGTTCAGTTCTAGTTCAGTTCTAGTTCAGTTCTAGTTCAGTTCTAGTTCAGTTCTAGATCAGTTCTAGTTCGGTTCTAGTTCAGTTCTAGTTCAGTTCTAGTTCAGTTCTAGTTCAGTTCTAGTACAGTTCTAGTTCAGTTCTAGTTCAGTTCTAGTTCAGTTCTAGTTCAGTTCTAGTTCAGTTCTAGTTCAGTTCTAGTTCAGTTCTAGTTCAGTTCTAGTTCAGTTCTAGTTCAGTTCTAGTTCAGTTCTAGTTCAGTTCTAGTTCAGTTCTAGTTCAGTTCTAGTTCAGTTCTAGTTCTAGTTCAGTTCTAGTTCAGTTCAGTTCTAGTTCAGTTCTAGTTCAGTTCTAGTTCAGTTCTAGTTCAGTTCTAGTTCAGTTCTAGTTCAGTTCTAGTTCAGTTCTAGTTCAGTTCTAGTTCAGTTCTAGTTCAGTTCTAGGTCAGTTCTAGTTCAGTTCTAGTTCAGTTTCTAGTTCAGTTCTAGTCAGTTCTAGTTCAGTTTCTAGTTCAGTTCTAGTTCAGTTCTAGTTCAGTTTCTAGTTCAGTTCTAGTCAGTTCTAGTTCAGTTTAGTTCAGTTCTAGTTCAGTTCAGGTTCTAGTTCAGTTCTAGTTCAGTTCTAGTTCAGTTCTAGTTCAGTTCTAGTTCAGTTCTAGTTCAGTTCTAGTTCAGTTCTAGTTCAGTTCTAGTTCAGTTCTAGTTCAGTTCTAGTTCAGTTCTAGTTCTAGTTCAGTTCGTCTAGTCTAGTTCAGTTCTAGTTCAGTTCTAGTTCAGTTCTAGTTCCGTTCTAGTTCAGTTCTAGGTTCTAGTTCAGTTCTAGTTCAGTTCTAGTTCAGTTCTAGTTCAGTTCTAGTTCAGTTCTAGTTCTAGTTCAGTTCTAGTTCAGTTCAGTTCTAGTTCAGTTCTAGTTCAGTTCTAGTTCAGTTCTAGTTCAGTTCTAGTTCAGTTCTAGTTCAGTTCTAGTTCAGTTCTAGTTCAGTTCTAGTTCAGTTCTAGTTCAGTTCTAGTTCAGTTCTAGTTCAGTTCTAGTTCAGTTCTAGTTCAGTTCTAGTTCAGTTCTAGTTCAGTTCTAGTTCAGTTCTAGTTCAGTTCTAGTTCAGTTCTAGTTCAGTTTTAGTTCAGTTTTTAGTTCAGTTCTAGTTCAGTTCTAGTTCAGTTCTAGTTCAGTTCTAGTTCAGTTCTAGTTCAGTTCTAGTTCAGTTCTAGTTCAGTTCTAGTTCAGTTCTAGTTCAGTTCTAGTTCAGTTTTAGCTCTAGTTACGAGACTTGAAATCATCGTCATTTTTACAAAATTAAATAAATTTCATTAAGTCATTATTCAATGAAGAGATTCCGTGAGTAGCAGATCATCACATGTTCCGACCTTCAAGGATAAATCAATTTCATACGTGTATTATTTCTTATTTCAGAACCGTTTATACCTGCGCTCTTAACAATTCGGGCGGCGTAGAAGCCGATGTTACCATATCACGATTAAACTCCGGCTCTGGAGCTCCTCATGATCCGAAATTTGAAGGTCAAGGCTATTATATTGTAGCAGGTGGCGCCTCAGCATACTACACATATACCATGATGGTGGATGAAATTCGCAAACAAGGTTTCAATTGTACGGTGCGTGATGTAACCGCTGACCTGGGTGTTATTTCCATACAAGGACCTAAGTCCAGAGATATTTTACAAAACATAGTGCAATGCGAACTCAGCGATGAGAATGTGGCGCCAAATGGCACAGTATTAACCCAATGTGCGGGATATGATGTACGTTTATTACGTGTTAGTTTTGTAGGAGAACTAGGCTATGAATTGCATGTACCCAAAGAGTATTGTTCCCAGGTCTATAGGGCTTTAATGAAGGCGGGCGAACCACAACAATTAAGAAATGCTGGATATCGTGCTTTATACTCGTTGAGTAGTGAAAAGGGTTATCATTTGTGGAGTTTTGATTTGAGACCCGATGATACCCCCTTGGAGGCGGGTTTGGGTTTTACCTGCCGTAAACAGGGTGTTTACAAGGGCAAAGAGGCCATTGATAAACAACGCAAAGAAGGCATTAAGAAACGTTTGGTATATTTAACTTTGGATGGACAAGTACCCATTTGGGGTTTGGAAGGTGTTTATAGAAATGGCCAACCTGTGGGTTTCTTACGTAGAGCAGAGTATGCCTATTATTTGGGCAAGCCTTTGGGACAAACTTATATACAAAGAACAGATGGTGAAAAAATCGATAATGAATATATTAAAACGGGTGAATATGAAATCGATGTTCTGGGAAAACGTTATAAAGCCAAATGTCATTTGAGAAGTCCTTTCGATCCCGAGGGCAAACGTGTATTAGGTAACTATTAACTTAAGTTTAAAAAAAAAATAAGATAAAATAAAAGAAATAAAGTTGTATTTTATTTTTATTTTAAAATATATACATATAATACAAATATTTATTTCATATTTTTTAATGACCTGCAAAGTCTCTTAGAAAACAAACTGGGTGCATTTTGAATATTCTAGGAACTCAACTCAAACCACAACTAAAGTAGTATTAGTAGTAGTGTTTTAAAAGAGACAAAACAATAAAATCATAAAGAGGTAGACCAATGTGTTAAGTGTTTGACACTAAATATTAATTATCCTGCAGTGCAAGGCTCATCTCCGTTTGTGTTACTTTGAAAATGACCTTCACACTAAAAGACAAGGACAGCCATATTTAAAATACATAATAGTTATTAAATGATCTTAAAAAATACTTGAGAACATTTTAATTAATCACTAAACTCTAAGTACAACTTAAGGTTTTCTTAAGGGTTTTTTAGTTAAAATGTATAAAAATTCTTTTACTAGCATTTTGAGGAAGAGGAGACACTATGTCTGGTGTGTTTGGGATTGTAATTGTTGTTTTTTTTTTGTTATAAAATATATGACTTAATTAATAATAATTGTTTTGTTGTGAAAATTATAAGTGTGTTTGTGTTATTTCTAAGAATTAGGGTTTCATATTGCAGCACCAGACAATAAGTCGCCTAGAATTATTACAAGTGCTTTTTTGGGCAGGAGTTTATTACATATTAACTAAAGGCGTATTTGTTTTGTCATTGCATCATACGTTGTTTCTTCGTATTCATACGTTTATCCTCTCACATTTATTTCGAACTTATGTGACCGAATACAATGTGGCCTCTGAGGCATTTGTGGAATGGGTATTTAGATATTCCTCTATAGTTTCCTCTAATGTTTTCTGAAACTTAAACATATCACGCATTTTATTATTTAAACGACAAACAACACCAGCTGATGATATATTCCAATTCCAGCAGATCATATCACAGTTTAATACTTTTAAATCATCTCGTAATGAAACGATATTCTGTAATGAAAGTATTATCGTTTTATTATTAAAATTTGGGAGACATATTTTTGTAAACTACTTACCGCCGCTACTGTATAATCAATGCTGTTAATTTCCTGGCCATTGACTACAATCAAACGTATACCATCTTTTTGATGGAAATTAACAAATTCGACCACATTTTCCTTCAGATATTCGGCTGAGGCAAAGTCCAGCTTTTGCTTAACATCAACCATACCAAATTCATAGTCCAATAACTGGAAAAATATAGAATAGTTCTAGTTCAATATACAAATAATTTAAAAATAAGTAAATTTAGTCGGTTTCTCCGCCCTTACAATGCACTAAAAGCCTTCTCGGAAGAATAACCGACTTTAACTAATGCTCACAACATAAATAACTAGTTTTGGGTCTATTCAGTTAGCTGAATTAGTATCTTTTTAACAGTTAAGTTAGAATTTTACGTTAACTACTTTTATATATATATTATTTGATATATTCAGCTAGCTGAATTAGTATTTTTTAAGCAGTTTATATAGAATTTTACGTTAACATTGTTAGCTCTATTCTACTAAACTTTAACTTTATTCAGCTTGCTGAATTGTCATTTTTAAATCTTAAATAGTTTTTGGTAATTTCAGCCAACTGAATTAGTTTTTTACAGCTTAGTTTTTTTCGGCGTTTTTATTTTATTCAGTTTGCTGAACAATTGTTTCCTAAAATAATAATTATAATCACGACATTAACCATATTCAGCTTGCTGAATAAATTTTTTAAAACAATATTTTAAATTTTTATATATGATTTATATCTTTTTGATGATATTCAGCAAGCTGAATATAACTTTTAAAAATCATGTATGATTAATTTTACTTTTTCAAACTCATTAAAATTATTTTTGTTATATTCAGCTAACAATTTTTGTTGAAAATTTTAAAAATTCTTACATCTACCAACTTATAGACAAGTTTTTATGGATATTTAGCTTGCTGAATTATATCCTTGAAAATAATTTCTTAAGAATTTGCTTTTACTAACTCGTTCTTAGCTTTCTAAACATATTAAGCTAGCTGAATAAGATTTTTTGAATAAAATGTTGTGAATTCTTAGATTAAACAGGATTTTCTTGGTTTTCAGCCAGCTGAATTAACTTTTAAGAATAAGTTTACTTATAATATGCAATCGAAATTTTCAAAAATTTTCGAATAATTTCTCTTTTTATAGAAAATTTTTGAAAATTTCTCTTTTTATAGAAAATTTTTGAAAATTTCTCTTTTTATAGAAAATTTTTGAAAATTTCTCTTTTTATAGAAAATTTTTGAAAATTTCTCTTTTTATAGAAAATTTTTGAAAATTTCTCTTTTTATAGAAAATTTTTGAAAATTTCTTTTTTTATAGAAAATTTTTGAAAATTTCTTTTTTTTATAGAAAATTTCTCATTTTTTAGAAAATTTTTTAAAATTTTATAGAAAATTTTTGAAAATTTCTTTTTTTATAGAAAATTTTTGAAAATTTCTTTTTGTTATAGAAAATTTCTCATTTTTTAGAAAATTTTTTAAAATTTCTCTTTTTATAGAAAATTTTCGAAAATTTCTCATTTTATAGAAAATTTTTTAAAAATTCTCTTTTTATAGAAAATTTTGGAAAATTTCTCTTTTTATAGAAAATTTATGAAAATTTCTTTTTTTATAGAAAATTTTTGAAAATTTCTTTTTTTTATAGAAAATTTTTGAAAATTTCTTTTTTTTTTATAGACAATTTTTGAAAATATCTTTTTTTTATAGAACATTTTTGAAAATTTCTCTTTTTATAGAAAATTTTCAAAAATTTCTCTTATTATAGAAAATTTTTGAAAATTTCTCTTATTATAGAAAATTTTTGAAAATTTCTCTTATTATAGAAAATTTTTGAAAATTTCTCTTATTATAGAAAATTTCTTTTTTTATAGAAAATTTTTGAAAATTTCTTTTTTTATAGAAAATTTTTGAAAATTTCTCATTTTTTAAAAATTTTTTGAAAATTTCTCATTTTTTAGAAATTTTTTGAAAATTTCTCTTTTTATAGAAAATTTTTGAAAATGTCTCTTTTTATAGAAAATTTTCGAATTTTCTTTCTACAGAACATTTTCGAAAATTTTTTCTCTTTTTATAGAACATTTTCGAACAAGTTATCTTTTTTTATACGAATTTATGAAAAAGTTCTCTTTATAGAAACTTTTCTTCGAAAATTTCTTTTGTTATAGAAACTTTTCGAAAAATGTCTCTTTTACCTTATAGGTATATAACCATATCTGGGGTCTAGCACTACTATATAGAATATAAGAAAGATTGGCAGCAATACCACATAAGATACCATATTCCAAACTCCAAAATAGGCAAACAAATAGAGTAACCAAAAATGGTACGAAATCCTTCTCTGAAATGCAAAAATAGAAAGTATTAGACATTAAACAATTTCATAAGTATGATTATCCATATTACTCTTTGATCTCCAAGTATCACGTATTTTCTCCACTTCCACCAGGGATATCATAGCAGCGATGATAATGGCCGACAGAGTAGCTTTAGGTATATAATAGAAGGTTTTTGTTAAAAAGGCTAAAGCCATTAATACCAAACCTCCAGTTACCAAACCACCCAAAGTTGTCTTTACACCACTGGCATTATTAACTGCAGTTCGGGTAAATGAGCCTGTGACAGGCATCGAAGAAACAAAACTACCCATTATATTACACATACCCAAAGCAATCATTTCCTGTGAGGCATCCACAATTCGGCCCTTAGCTGGAAATAACAATTTTCAATCATTACTTTGTGTTAAGAAATTTCCATTATTTAAATACTTACAAAATGCTTTAGCTATAGCTACCACTTCCAAAATAGACACCAACGGTATGGAAGCAAAAGAAGCACCCACTGTATTCATCATTTCCTTTAAGGTTACTTCGGTTCCATTGATAATAGCACCAGATAATGGTACCTTAAATGGCGGCAAACCGGCTGTAACATTACCGGTTACTCTAAAAGGTTGTGAACCATCACGACTTAAGATATAAGCCAAGAAAGTACCAATTATAACAGCCATTGAATTGCGAGACAAAGAAACATATTTCCAAAAGGTACGATTACCAAAGGGTATATCTTTGACTTTCTAAAATTTTTAAAATTCTTAAAATAAATCTATAAAATCTTTATTAGTTTCAAAACATACCTTCATAACCAACAGGAAGGCTAAGGTAACTAAACCCAATGTAGCATCATTCCAGCCTATGTCATTCAGATGAGTAAAGAAATGTTTCCACGCTGGTATCAAATCATTTGAAGGAGCTTTTATGCCGAAAATGTTATTAATTTGTGCGCTACCTATTGTTATGGCGGCCGCAGTGGTAAAACCTTTGAAAAGTTGGTTATGGGAGAGGATTTAAACAGATTAGTTAGTTTCTTTACTTTGCTTTAATAATGTCTTTACCTATAATAACGGGTATTGATATAAATCTTACTAGCACTCCCAGATTTAAAAGACCCAATGCTAGTACAATGCAACCAGCGAAGAAGGCAATCATAGCAGCATATTCTGGACTTATGGAAGCGTAGGGATGGACCATTAAAGCCATAATTGCAGTGGTGGCTAAGAAATGAAAGTTTTCAATTAAAACTATTCGAAGTAGATAGATAGATAGATAGATAGATAGATAGATAGATAGATAGATAGATAGATAGATAGATAGATAGATAGATAGATAGATAGATAGATAGATAGATAGATAGATAGATAGATAGATAGATAGATAGATAGATAGATAGATAGATAGATAGATAGATAGATAGATAGATAGATAGATAGATAGATAGATAGATAGATAGATAGATAGATAGATAGATAGATAGATAGATAGATAGATAGATAGATAGATAGATAGATAGATAGATAGATAGATAGATAGATAGATAGATAGATAGATAGATAGATAGATAGATAGATAGATAGATAGATAGATAGATAGATAGATAGATAGATAGATAGATAGATAGATAGATAGATAGATAGATAGATAGATAGATAGATAGATAGATAGATAGATAGATAGATAGATAGATAGATAGATAGATAGATAGATAGATAGATAGATAGATAGATAGATAGATAGATAGATAGATAGATAGATAGATAGATAGATAGATAGATAGATAGATAGATAGATAGATAGATAGATAGATAGATAGATAGATAGATAGATAGATAGATAGATAGATAGATAGATAGATAGATAGATAGATAGATAGATAGATAGATAGATAGATAGATAGATAGATAGATAGATAGATAGATAGATAGATAGATAGATAGATAGATAGATAGATAGATAGATAGATAGATAGATAGATAGATAGATAGATAGATAGATAGATAGATAGATAGATAGATAGATAGATAGATAGATAGATAGATAGATAGATAGATAGATAGATAGATAGATAGATAAGAGTCCAAACAACATAATGATTAAAAATATATAAAACCCCATTCTAAATTAGTATTTTTCTCTCTCTTTTGTATCTTTTTTATGAAATTGGACAAAGCTTGTGTACAAACTAAGCCATCTTATTTTGATATTTATTTACAAAATAGTAATTTTTAATGTATTTAAAAACATAGGTTACGTTAAAAACTTGTATAGACAAAAATTTTCTCTGCAAAAAAAAACGCTTATTTTAGCGAAACACGTGTAGCATTGAAGATGAAACCAAAAATAGTGACGTTATAAAAACATAACGTCCGGTTTAACGGGGAATTACTCATACATACTAAAAACCACCAAAAAACCTAATATTTGGCCTCTAACAAAGTAAAGAGTATAAACATAATTTACGCAATTCTGTTTTGTTTTTATACAAATTTAAAAAATAATGTGGTAAATTTACTTTTAAAAACAATGACTTGGCAATTATTTCTTTTTGTTTTAAAATTTTTTTAACTTACCTATAGTAACATCTTTACAGGAACCAAATATAATGTACATAAAAGAACCCATAAAAGCCGAATATAAACCATATTGTGGTTCCAGACCAGCCACTACACCATAGGCAATGCCTTGAGGTATCATGGTAAGACCAACCGTAAAACCGGCTATAAAATCTGATAATAGAAAACTTTTTTCATATTTTGGCAACCAAGAGATAATGGGAAATTTTCTCGATATTGAGCAGCAATCCTTGGCAGCAACTTTTAAGGCTGAGCCCACATTGGGCAATTTTTCTTTGTACAAATTTCCTGTGAATAAGAGAGAGAAGTTATTAATTAAAATTTAGGTTTATAATTTTGTTTAGTGTTTTTTTGTTTAATTTCTATAAATCTATAACATGATTTTGCAGTTTTTTTATTTGTTTTGGAAATAACCATGAAACTTTGATGTTTAACGATGCAAAAAAGAAACAATTATTTTTGTTAATATTAATTTAATGTTATTTAAGTACAAATTCCAAGCAAATTGGCAGTTCCAAACAGGTTATTTTAGAACCATTTTTTATAAATTTTTAATAAATTTCGGATTTATTTACTGTAGAACATTGTCTAGAAAAGTATATCTTTGACTCAGGGTTTTAAGATTTTAAAATTTTGATGGCCTGTGTAATTTTTAATATAAATATATATGTATGTATGTAAGAATGTGAATTGTGCTTTAATAATATTCTATCAGTTATCGGCCTGTAAGAAAAAATAAATAAAATATTTAACAAAATATTATCTTTTTAATAAGATATAGAACAAAAAATTCGAAGTAGGGTTAATTAACTCAAAGATATCTGTGGCCTTCGAAATTTTGATTTCAAATCGATACCACTACCACAAAAATACTGTTCTTTTCAAAATTTTACATTTGGAAATTTATAAAGTCTAAATTCTAACACAAATTTAATAGGTAACTCGATTTTCGGAAATTTTGCAAATAAAGAACTCATAATAGGATGTGTGCAATTTGTTAAACTATATTTAACCACATATTTTAATTTAAACAAATTTAAATTACTATCAAAAATAGTCACGTACTTAAGCTTTTTTACCAAATAAACTCAAACAACCTAATATGCCACCATCTTAATGATGCTCACACACCTAACACGGCAAACTTGTTGAATTATTTAATTAACTGTTTTTAGCAAAAGACAACAACAACAACTTAAACAATAATAAAAAAGTTATTTGGTTTTGTTATAGGAAACTCTCAAATGGATTTTTAATTTGTTTAAATCTTTATTTAAAGTTTGCTAAACTTTTTTTTAGAATTTGTTTTCACTACTAATACATACGTATAAAATTATAATTTTTTGTGACGTTTCAGTGGGAAGTGTACATGTCAAATACTTTATATTTAGTGAAAAATATTTAAATAATTTATTTTTAAATAAATAAGTTATAGTTACATTATAATTAAACATCAAGAATTTTAATTATATATTGTATATGAATAATTAAAAAATGTTTAAAAAGACCAGAGAGACACGGGGAAGGGCGGGAGAGAAAGGAAACCGAGGAAGACCGAGAAGAAAGAGGGGAAAAGGGGGCAAAGCGAGCGAGCGAGCGAGCGAGCGAGCGAGCGAGCGAGCGAGCGAGCGAGCGAGCGAGCGAGCGAGCGAGCGAGCCGAACGAGCGAACGAGCGAACGAGCGAGCGAGCAGCGAGCGAGAGCGAGCGAGAGCGAGCGAGCGAGCGAGCGAGCGAGCGAGCGAGCGAGCGAGCGAGCGAGAGAGCGAGCGAGCGAGCGAGCGAGAGAGCGAGCGAGCAGCGAGCGAGCGAGCGAGCGAGCGAGCGAGGCGAGCGAGGAGCGGGAGCGAGGAGCGAGCGAGCGAGCGAGCGAGCGAGCGAGCGAGAGAGCGAGCGAGCGAGCGAGAGCGAGCGAGCGAGCGAGCGAGCGAGCGAGCGAGCGAGCGAGCGAGCGAGCGAGCGAGCGAGAGAGCGAGAGCGAGCGAGCGAGAGAGCGAGCGAGCGAGCGAGCGAGCGAGAGCGAGCGAGCGAGCGAGCGAGCGAGCGAGCGAGCGAGCGAGCGAGCGAGCGAGCGAGCGAGCGAGCGAGACGAGCGAGCAGCGAGAGCGAGCGAGCGAGCGAGAGAGCGAACGAGCGAGCAGCGAGCGAGCGAGAGAGCGAGCGCGAGCGAGCGAAGCCAGCGAGCGAGCGAGCGAGCGAGAGCGAGAGCGAGCGAGCGAGAGCAGCGAGCGAGCGAGCGAGCGATCGAGCGAGCGAGCGATCAGCGAGCGAGAGCGAGCGAGCGAGCGAGCGAGCGATCGATAGCGAGCGAGCGAGCGAGCGAGCTAGCGAGCGAGCTAGCGACCGATCGCGAGCGAAGCGAGCGAGCGAGCGAGCTAGCAGCGAGCGATCTATCTATCTATCTATCTATCTATCTATCTAATCTATCTATCTATCTATATCTATCTATCTATCTATCTATCTATCTATCTATCTACCTATCTACTATTTAAAACAGGAGTTCAAGTGGAACATTCTTTATTTATTTTATAACTAATCACAATGTAAAGAGCTGCGTCCATCATTGCGGACCCGGTTCAACTAGTTATAAACAAAACCTTTAAGTACTTATTACTTAACAAAATGTATTGTTCAGTTTTCTAACTGAACGGAAGCTTAAAATTATTAAAAACAAAGTAATGATGTTATTTATTATTAATATTTTCCCAAACCATTAATTTAGTTTCCAAAAAAAAAAATTTTAAAACGAACATAATATTTATAATAAAACACGTGTGATAACTAAGTACTTTTATCTGCCAAGGTACTATAATTATCTTAAAAAATAGTGGGAACAGCTAACAATATATTTTTTATATAAATTAAATCAACTAATAATTTAATGTTGTTGAGCTATTAAAAAAAATATAATTTATAATCCATGGTATCTTTGTTATAAATATTAAAAGTAAATTTTGCAACATACATATTTATTTTTTCAAATTACAAAAAAAAAACTCTTGGTAACAGGAAATTTATGACGGTTTCCTGTTGGTAATTTTAAAAATAAACAAAATTTTGAGATTCAGCTCATGACACTATGGGCCCATTTACGACTACTTTTTGAACATAAATAATCAAGATATTTTTTAGTGAAGATAGGAAATGTTCGTGGTTAAATAAATGTTACTTCTATTGTGATTTAAGGGATTCAGAAGCAATGAATTGTTGTCCTTAAAAAAACATCCCTTCTATTACAATTTCCAAGTACATAGTAAAATCTACTATAAATCCCTTGAGGATTAGAGCCTAAGCTTCAAATATACACTACTAATCAGATACATATGTATGTAAATGTTTAAATTTCTTCATTAATTTAAATAAAAGCAAAAGTATTTGGTTCAAATTAAGTTTTCTTTTTCTTAGCTGCCACACTTTAAACAAACAGTATTTCCAAAATCATTTCATTCATTATCTTGTCATTTTTAAGTAATCACGCCCACTTATACAAATTTATGAATAAATCAAATGTCCGCTTTATGATTTAGACCCTAATTCGATATTCAGGTCACATTTTATGATTTTAATTCATACATACTACATCAATAAATACAATAAACATTTTTTTTCGCAACAAAAACTATATAAAGATGAACCTGGCTATGACGAATTAAATGTTATATTATAACAAGTAAAAATGTTATTCATATTGGATATTTTCTTATAGATATAAAATGTCTTTTATGATGAATTTGATCGAATTATACAGAATTTTAAAGGCTGATTAATTTCTTAGAACAAATAATACTTTTTAAACGATTTATTGACATTTTACTGATTTTCTTCAAAAGAGCTTGTATGAGGTATATGACAAATTATGGACCAATAATCTTTGAATCTGGTTCTTATAAAATCAAGAACCGATGTTACCCATTTTCAATACCATAGGAATCTTATCAATATATAATGTTTGAGTTCAATCGCGTTTTCAACCGCCAGACAGACGGGGGGACAAGGATTTTATGCTCTGAGTACTACTTAGAAAGTTATGATAACATAACTCAATTGAAAGCACTCCTTTAAATTCTTGCTGGATATGAGTACAATGTTTTAGAGTTCTTTTAAATAATAATTAAACTAAAAAGTGTCTATCATGTTTATAAAATTTTACAAGCTATAAATTTTACATCACTTTTATGATATTTGAAATTTTTATTTATCTTAAGTAAAGCAATTCTCACTAGAGTTCTTATTAAATTATAAATTTTAAAATAATTTTGCACCCTTCACTATAATAATATACAAAATCATGAATATCGGATTCTGGTAGAATGAATATTTGTAAGACTAAACTTTGTGGTACTTTTTGTTCTTCAACTGGTACTTTTTTAAACTTATTTAATATAAAACCTAGAAAGCTATAAAGGTGGACTTTCTGATACTTCTTCGTTTTCCAAGTAGTATTTTTTATAGGTCTAGAACTACTCTACTAGATTTATAAAGCACACCAAGTCATATGTTGAGTAAATTTTAACTGTCACACAGTGTAATCCTTTAACTTTTCAAATAACTTCAGACATTTTGTTATGTAGCATTTTTTAAAAAATTTGAAATTTAACGTTATTTTTAAACACAGCAAACACGATTATTTAAATTAATTTATTATAAATATATTTAAATTTTAAAACATGTATTAACTCGTTGCATATTATTATAGATACATATTATTATAATTTTGTAATATGACACGTTTTATTAATAAATTTAATTCAATTTATAAGATTGCAATTGCAATTACATCCGTTGCTTTTTTTCACTCGATAACATTTTAAATATTTTGTAAACGGCAGCCGCCTTCAATACGTCACACTGTTCCTAACCTAATACAATTGTTTTGTTTTTGCTTTATTATTGTAAACAAAACAAATAGCATGTAATTTCTTTTAGTATTTTATAAAAACAACAAGTGTTTTTCATTTCTTTCACAAATTCTTTTCTTTTTCCTAAAAATTTACAATATTTTATTACTAACCATCAATATCCGTTGATGTACTAGTATTTACACTTGTTCTCTGCATTATAAGGGATTTACATTAAAAACTATTTTTCTTTAAATAAAAACTTTAATAAATACGAAAAAATTTTAACTTTTATAAAGTCACGTATAGAGTAGTAACGTTTCAGTTCCCAGATCAACGACAACTAAAAATTTGCACAAGGAAACATAGTAGTTAAATAAATGGGTATTGAAATTTTTTTAAAAAATCGACGCGCTAGTTGTAAAACACAATAAATAGTTGCTGTGTTAGACGATAACAATGTTAGTTAACAGTTCGCTAGTTGGTTATAAATGATTTACGACAGTGGCAACAAACACCCCATAAAGTTGCTGCGAACCGTGGAGTTTATTAAATAATTTGTTTTATTTGCAATTTTTTATTAAAATTTAGGAACCAAATCTGAACAGCACATTGATGAATTGTTTACTAACACTTTATATTACTCTTTCTTTGTCTTTCTCTCTCTCTCTCTCTCTGTATTTTGTGTTTTTGTCATCTTTATTATTTTATTACTTTTTTCTGCCTGTTTGACGAGTTTTGCTTTTATTTTATAAAATATACTATAATTGTTCATGGGCTATTCACAGATTAGCGTTTACATATTTTTTTTTTATAAAAAAACGCTAGTCCCTAGAACAGACTACCTAGTCTAGCAGTCTGTAGTCTTAGCTCTAGTATAGACTGAAGTTTTGTATCTGTAACACACTATAGTCTAGTCTATAGTTTGTAGAACAATCTAGTCTATAGTCTGGACTATAGTCACTCTATAGTCTGGACTATAGTCACTCTATAGTCTGCACTATAGTCTGGTCTATAGTCTACACTATAGACTAGTATAAACTGATGTTTTGTCTCTGTAATACACTATAGACTAGTATATAGTTTTGAGCACAGTCTAGTATATAGTCTGGGCTATAGCCCAGTATTTAATGCAGACAATAGTCTGGTTTATATTGCAGACAATAGTCTAGTCTATAGTCCAGATTATAGTTTAGTCTATAATACAGACTATAGTCTAGTCTATAATACAGACTATAGTCAAGTCTATAGAGCAGACTATAGACTAGTCTATAATGCAGACTATAGACTAGTCTATAATGCAGACTATAGACTAGTCTATAGTGCAGACTATAGTCTAGTCTATAGGGAAGACTATAGTCTAGTCTATAGTGCAGACTATAGTCTAGTCCATAGTGCAGACTATAGTCTAGTCTATAGTGCAGACTATAGTCTAGTCTATAGTGCAGACTATAGTCTAGTCTATAGTGCAGACTATAGTCTAGTCTATAGTGCAGACTATAATCTAGTCTATAGTGCAGACTATAGTCTAGTCTATAATACAGACTATAGTCTAGTCTATAGTGCAGACTATAGTCTAGTCTATAATACAGACTATAGTCTAGTCTATAGTGCAGACTATAGTCTAGTCTATAGTGCAGACTATAGTCTAGTCTATAGTGCAGACTATAGTCTAGTCTATAGTGCAGACTATAGTCTAGTCTATAATACAGACTATAGTCTAGTCTATAGTGCAGACTATAGTCTAGTCTATAGTGCAGACTATAGTCTAGTCTATAGTGCAGACTATAGTCTAGTCTATAATACAGACTATAGTCTAGTCTATAGTGCAGACTATAGTCTAGTCTATAGTGCAGACTATAGTCTAGTCTATAATACAAACTATAGTCTAGTCTATAGTGCAGACTATAGTCAAGTCTGGAGTATATTATTGGACTACAGTTTAGTCTATTGTCTGGACTATAGTTTAGTCCGTAGTCTGGACTATTGTATGAAGTATAGTCTAGTCTTTAATTAAACTATGTTTCAGTATATTGTATGGACTATAGTATATAATTTGGACAATAGTGTAGTCTATTGTCTTCACTACAGTGTAGTGTCTAGGCTCGGCTATGTTCTAGTCTATAGTGTGGCTTATAGTGTGAATTTACGGTCTAGTTCATAATATGGACAATAGTGTAGTTTACAGCTCAGTTTATATTTTGCAGTTTAGTGTAAACTATAGTCTAGTCTATATTTTAGACTATAGTCTAGTCTTTAGTCAGAACTCTACTGGGACTATAGTTTAGTCTATATTCTAGACTATAGTCTGGACAACATTGCAGTATATAATCTACTCTATAGTTTAGTTTATAGGCTGTTCTTTAGTATATGCTATAGTCTAGTCTTTAGTGTGGACAATGTTCTAGTCTGTAGTGCCTATATACTGTGGTCTATAGTCTATAGCATAGTCTAGACTATAATCTTGTATATAGTCAGGATTATAATCTAGAGTTTGCACTATAGTCTTGTCTATAGACTGACCTTAAGTCTAGCCTATAATTTGAACTATTTTCTAGCCTATAAAGACTACGGTCCAGTCTATAATCTGAACTAGAAAGTTACATACGCGATCTGTGAATATCCCTACAGAGAAGAAAGAAAAAGCTTTTACACACAACAATAGAACATATTACAGACCTGAGCGACAATTAATAATTGTTTGTTGTAACAAAGCTTTAAATTTGTAAAATAGAAATTTACAATATTTGAAAGAAATATTTACAAGCTTTTAGAGTATGAAAATAATCGAATCAGAACTTTAATCGAATAATAAGTAAAGTAAATATGAAAAATATCTAGTTTTTTATAAAAAAAAAATGTTTCTTTCAACTGATTGAAAAAAGTCAGTTTTAAATTTAAGCTATTTTTGCGGTTTTTTTAAATTTTTGCTAAACATTTCTCATCTATTGAGAGGGAGAGAGAGAGAGCATTTCAAACTTATAGATACGATTCTCATCAATTTTAAAATGTACCAAATAAAATCATTTTGTATGATTTGATTTTTATGATAGGTATAAAAGAAAGGCTCGTTTTCTGGACAGTTTATGTTGAATTTATACAGTAGCATTGGAAATCGTCCAGGAAATTCATATCTAATCGTTAAATTTCCAAACAGCTTTATCTTATATACGTGCCCAAAACAAATTGTAAATTAATAAAGAACTTATTGGTTTAGATGTTAAAGATTTTATAGATTTGAGTTGATAATATACGACATATTTAAACGAGTTTTTAACGTTTTACCGGACGTTCACACAGGTGGGGTTTGTTAAACAAAATTTTGTCACATTTTTTTTAAAAAATCCCCTTATCAGAAGGCAAAGAAAACAACATATTTTTTTAATCTTTCTCCATTTTAATGTTTTTTAAAGAATATTAAACTTATAAAAAAGTGTTTGTGATTTTTTTAATTAAATAAAGGCTTTTACAACTTGGAATGAAAAAATCAACTCAAAAAGATATGTCATTGAATGAAAGAAAAAACAAAAATTAACAAGACTCAATAATGTTAAATTAAACCATTTCCCAGCAAATAAAAAAATATATATGTATAATATAAATGATGTAGCGGATTTAAATAAAAGCACAGCTAATAATTAACTAATTACATATACTAGTTATTGTATGTATATATTAATATAATAATGTGAATCATTGCAGTTTTAGGCCTAAAAGAATCACTCGACAAATTATAGCAGTAACTATAAGGTAATTTAATTGGTTTCTCGTTTTGTTTATTATTATAGTTATTAATATTTTATAGATATTTTTTATAATATATATATATGTATGTAATGTGGATGAAGAGCATTCAATTTTAATTAATCAATTTGTTTGTTGCTTTGTTGCTTTGTTGCTTTGTTTGGTTTTTGAGAGTTTGGGGGTATAAATATAAAACGAAATTATATTTGTTGCGTTTTTATTTTTTATTCGGGGAGTAATTTTCAGTATTTATAACGATAAATGGCCACACCAGCAACACCGATTAAAATGGAGCCCATTAGATAGCCGAGTAATTTTAGCTGTGGGAGGAAAACGAAAAAAGTTTAAAGAAGTTGCCACTGATGTTTGTTTATTTTATAACAAACCTTAGAACTTTCCACAGTTTGTTGTTTTTGAGGTTGTTTATTTTTCTGTTCCAATTTCTTAGCCTGACCCAACATTTTTTGATACATTTCTTTTTCATTGTGCTCTTCACGTCTTGCTTTAATGATAAGCTTGGCCAAGTCCTGCAATGTATATAAAAGGTTAGTAAAATACTCTAGTTTGGACTAGACTATGATCCAGACTATAAAGTAGACTATAGTCTAGTATATAGTCTGGACTACAGTCTAGTCTATAGTCTGGTCTTTAGTCTGGACTATAGTCTAGTCTAGTCTATAGTCTGGACTATAGTCTAGTCTATAGTCTGGACTATAGTCTAGTCAATAGTCTGAACTATAGTCTAGTCTAGTCTATAGTCTGGACTATAGTATAGTCTAGTCTATAGCCTGGACTATAGTCTAGTCTATAGTCTTGACTATAGTCTAGTCTATAGTCTGGACTATAGTCTAGTCTATAGTCTGGACTATAGTTTAGACTATAGTCTGGACTATAGTTTAGTCTATAGTCTGGACTATAGTCTAGTCAATAGTCTGAACTATAGTCTAGTCTAGTCTAGTCTATAGTCTGGACTATAGTATAGTCTAGTCTATAGCCTGGACTATAGTCTAGTCTATAGTCTTGACTATAGTCTAGTCTATAGTCTGGACTATAGTCTAGTCTATAGTCTGGACTATAGTTTAGACTATAGTCTGGACTATAGTTTAGTCTATAGTCTGGACTATAGTTTAGTCTATAGTCAGGACTATAGTTTAGTCTATAGTCTGGACTATAGTTTAGTCTATAGTCTGTACTTTAGTCTAGTCTATAGTCTGGACTATAGTCTAGTCTATAGTCTGGACTATAGTCTAGTCTATAGTCTGGACTATAGTTTAGTCTATAGTCTGGACTATAGTCTAATCTATAGTCTGGACTATAGTCTAGTCTATAGTCTGGACTATAGTTTAGTCTATAGTCTGGGACTATAGTTTAGTCTATAGTCTGGACTATAGTTTAGTCTATAGTCTGTACTTTAGTCTAGTCTAAAGTCTGGACTATAGTCTAGTCTATAGTCTGGACTATAGTCTAATCTATAGTCTTGACTATAGTCTAGTCTATAGTCTGGACTATAGTCTAGTCTATAGTCTGGACTATAGTCTAGTCTATAGTCTGGACTATAGTCTAGTCTATAGTCTGGACTATAGTCTAGTCTATAGTCTGGACTATAGTCTAGTCTATAGTCTGGACTATAGTTTAGTCTATAGTCAGGACTATAGTTTAGTCTATAGTCTGGACTATAGTTTAGTCTATAGTCTGGACTATAGTTTAGTCTATAGTCTTGACTATAGTCTAGTCTATAGTCTGGGCTATAGTCTAGTCTATAGTCTGGACTATAGTATTGTCTATAGTCTGGACTATAGTCTAGTCTATAGTCTGGACTATAGTCTAGTCTATAGTCTGGACTATAGTTTAGTCTATAGTCAGGACTATAGTTTAGTCTATAGTTTGTACTTTAGTCTAGTCTATAGTCTGGACTATAGTCTAGTCTATAGTCTGGACTATAGTCTAGTCTATAGTCTGGACTATAGTCTAGTCTATAGTCTGGACTATAGTCTAGTCTATAGTCTGGACTATAGTCTAGTCTATAGTCTGGACTATAGTCTAGTATATAGTCTGGACTATAGTCTAATCTATAGTCTGGATTATAGTCTAGTTTATAGTATAGACTATAGTCTAGTCTATAGTCTGGACTATAGTCTAGTCTATAGTTTGGGCTATAGTCTACTCTATAGTCTGGACTATAGCCTAGTCTATAGTCTGGACTATAGTTTAATCTATAGTGTAGTCTATAGTCTAGACTATAGTTTAGTCTATAGTCTGGACTCTAGTCTATAGTCTAGATTATAGTTTAGTCTGTAGGCTGGACTATAATCTAGTCTATAGTATGGACTATAGTCTGAACTATATTCTAGTCTACAATCTGAACTAGTCTATAATCTGGACTACAGTCTATTCTATAATCTGGATTATAGTCAAGTCTGTAGTCCAGTCTCTAGTCTGGACTATATTCTACTCTATAGTCTGGATTGTTATTTATACTTTTATAAAGTTAGATCAAAGTTTATGAGCTTTTTCATTATTGCATTTTTTATATAGACAAATTGGATATCACTAGTATAAATGAAAATTAAAAATTACCTGTTGTATTGCTCTACTTTCTGGTTCTAAAGTAGCTGCTTTTTGTAAAAGTGTAATGGCTCCCTTGGTATCACCTTTACCCTCAAGTATCTAAAACAAAATAGTTGTTAAAAACATAAATTTTACTATTATCATACATTTCCCTATACTCACCCTGCCTTTTCTATATAAAGCCTTGGAATTATTGGGTTGACAGCGTAAAACATGTTCCACCGACTTTAAGGCGGCATCAAAAGCAGATATTTTGATTTGAGCCATTGCCAAGTTATTATAGACTATCAATCGATCATCCAACAAGGTTTGTAATTCAGAATTTGACAGCTGAAAATGCAACAATTACAAAATAAACATTTTACTTGTTCATACATTATATTATAGTGTTCTATACCTCTATATCTTCTTTGTCAAATTCAGCATCAGGATCACCATCACGATTATCTAAATATTCTAAAGCGCGTCTATATAATTGTATGGCAGTACTAAATTCACTGCGATTATACCAGAAATTAGCACGTTCCTTTTTACGGGTGCTGTTTATTAAAATTTTTGTAATTAATGTTAATTAGTTTGCAATAATATTTTTTTTTTTTAAGGTAAATACTAACCCGTATTTTTTGCGTATATCAAATGATTTCAAGTCAGCAAAATCTTCATATTTAGAATCGATTAAATGCACTTCATATGTTATCTATAAAAAGAAACAAGTTAAAAAAATTCAATTATTTTAGAATCATTATGAGATCCTCCGTGTATAAATACTAACTGTTGCTTCTGGAGGAATGCTTAATGCAGGTTCTTTGTCATTTTTCAAACCCAATGAACCATAGGCAAATCGAGGATCAACTTAACTTCAGCTACTTCACCAATATTCATTAATGGTACAACCATATCAAGACCTTGAACGATCTAGAAATAAAGAGAATGTTATTTAAAAGAATGCTTCCATTGTGACATTAGTTGGTTGTTATAAAAGAACAGAACTTGTTTCAGAACAAAGACTAAATTACGTATTTAATATCGATTAAAATCTATACAATATAAATACATATAAGTTTTGATTGTAATTCGCTTCTATTTTAAAGTTCCACAAAATATGTTTGATAAGCTACAATTTGGTACAATGAAGCTTGGTCTCAAAGCCAAAGAATAATGAATACAGGCTAAATCTAATCACATGATAGGGAGTGTAAATAATATATTAAATTAAATCTTAAAACCTTACCTCATAATCACCAAACATGTACTTGATAGTTTTCTTCCTTTTCAACAACGGTGCCATCGTCCAGTTTTACCGGTAAAACTTATTGTCACTAATTCACCACGTTGTGGTTTCTTCTCCACCTTCGATTTCTTTATAACGCGTTTTATTAACTGGCCATTGCCCAAACATCACAAGGTTCTTCATCGCCCACAGAAGCGGGCGCACCACTATCACTGTCCGAATCTCCGGCAGGCGCAACTGGCTCAGCACCTTCGCTACCGGCATGTCGCTCCTTATCCAATAATGCTTCAGATGCAGCCTTCATATCAGCCTCGTTAAGATTTGAAAGATCTTCAAAAGAGCTATTGCTTGATTTTTCTGCTCCATGATTAAATATTTAGCGCTTTAAACACAAAGAATCCGGCAATTATCTACAGAGATAAAGAAAATAGATTATCTTGTTAAAAACTTCATTATACTATATCTGCTACATAATCAAAGGTCATAGAACTTTCTAAAAAAAGTATCTGCTGCTTAATAAATACTTCTCGTATATTTTCTTGATACGCACACGAAAAACAACATACAAAATTTATCAAATCAAATAAAAAAACTTCGGTTTGATGAAAGTGAACGTATTCTTTGTTTGCTCTCTTCTTTGTAGTAAATAAAACTTTACAATGTTCTCCGTTAAAGTAACTATATCAAAATAGTTGTATAAATAATCTAAATAGTGTAAAACAATAAAACTACGGCTTCTTACAAAATATCTTGGATAAGTTAGTTTTCTTTTTATTTCGAAGGCAATTTTCACTTGATGTATGATATATGCAGGCATGGGAAATTTACGTTTTTAAAATAGTACTAAGTTTTATGAAAAATTTTACTTTTTTTGGATTAAAAGTACTAAAATAGTATTCGGCTTAAACTGTATATAGAGTGGTCCACAGAGCTGGCTATGGTTGGACTTGTTTATGTACTATCGTGGGTTAGTTCGGGTCTAAACTGTGTTACTAGACTACTACCTGTCTATGTATTGGACTTCTGTAGTCTCTAATGACAAATATATTGATTGGCTTATGACTAGTTTATTGTCAAGTTTGAATTTACTCCTTGGATTAGTCTGTTGACTAACTTATTGATTAATTTATTGACTGGTTTAAGGAATGGAAAAAGTACTATGTTGTGGGGTACATTTAAATATAGTACTGAACTTTCCATCCCTGTGATGAAATATGAAATAAAGTAAATGTCACTCAGCTGTTAGAAAAAGTTGCCATATCATGCAAAAGTCAAATGTCAAATCAACAACTTTCTAATGTAATGTTTTATTTAAATATATATTAAAAATAATGGAATCAATATTCGAGTAATTAACAATTAAATATTAATTCATATAAATTATATTATATCTTTAATTTTAAATGCACTTAATAATTAAAACTCTATAAATATATTTTTTTATTTCAATAATAGTTTATATCATTTCAACATAATACAACCCTGTGCTATTTTTACGCTGTAGCAACGGCTTTTTGTGCAAATCTATTACAAAAAAAACTGCTAGAATTACGTTTTACACCAACAAATACGGTGTATTTTTGCTAGACCAATGACTGCTAGAATTTTTTAGCATAATGGCGATTTCTTTTTGACAGTTGACTCTACTTTTGGCGCACGTGTTTTCTCACGCACCGTCCTCAAAAAATCAAATAAAAATGTAATTATTTATTAAAATAAATGGAAAAAAATGGCGAAAATATCTAATTGTTTATGTTTACTTGCAGATGAATGCCGAAAAATTGAAAAAGTTGCAAGCGCAAGTGCGCATTGGTGGTAAGGGTACTCCTCGTCGTAAGAAGAAGATCGTACACTCCACCCCCGCTACAGATGATAAGAAATTGCAATCATCATTGAAGAAGTTATCGGTCAACACCATACCCGGCATTGAGGAGGTCAACATTATCAAACATGACGGTACCGTCATCCATTTCAACAACCCCAAGGCTCAAGCTTCATTGCCCACCAACACCTTTGCCATTACTGGCCATGGCGAGAACAAGTCGATTTCTGAAATGTTACCAGGTATTTTAACACAATTGGGTCCCCAAGATATCACACAATTGAAAAAGATTGCCAGTGAATTGGCCAACAAGAGTGGTGCCGCCGCTGCTGGTGCTGCCGGTGCCGCCGCCAACGCTGGTGACGATGATGTACCCGATTTGGTAGAAAATTTCGAAGAAGTCGCTATTGGTGCCGCTAAACCCGCTGAGACTGCTGAAGCTGCCAAAAAACCAGAAGAAATTCCAGTGGCTTAGACGCGATAGGTTCTTTTTCATTAGAGGGGGATGTTATTTAAAAAACAAAACAAAAACCATTATTTTTACTATATTATATATACTTATAAAATTTAAACAACCTTTTTATTATTATAATATCTACTACCACATCCGTTGAGTGACTTAACCGTTAAAAAGTATGCCACCAAGTTACATGTGTGTGCAAGTCTGGTGGATGTAAAGGATGTTTATATATAAAAGCGTTGCTGCATAAAGGGGGGTTCAACACAATTCGTATTTCTTCTGTTTGGATGAAATGAAGGAACGATGACGAAGAGAAGGTGATTTTCTGGACATTTAACAACAAACGGATGAATGTTTTTGTTTAATTGGGCGTTAAGTAGTAAGCATGATTTACTATCCAACTCTACTATTTTTAAAACTTAATCATAACAAACAACAATAAGCTTAAACAAATAATAGTAAGAAGAAATTTGTTAAATTGAATGAAAACTTAAAAAAAAAACAAACAAACAAGTGTAGTACACAACAAAATACAATACAAAAAAATATTAAAAGCTAAGGAGATTTCCTTTAACCAAAAGAAAAGAGAATCTCCTTAAAAGAAAACAAAAACACCCACATGTTTAGCAAATTCTTAATACCATTAAAACAAACAAGAACATCATACAAAATCATCATCACTTCAGTTTAATTTAAGGGGATTAAACATCAATAGCTGCTCGTAGCTACCCCAGGGGTTCACAAAACTATGAATAATTCCATTTAAAGGCTTTCCAATTTCAAAACATTGCCATGTTAGAGAAATGAAAATGCAGGCTTAAGGAAAAAAAATTTCCATATTTTCATAAATTTGTTTTTAAATGTTAATGTTAAGAGAAAAATTGGTCTAGTCTTTTAATTCAATTCAAAACTTATGTAATCAACAACAGAAATAGACTTTATTACTTCCCATAAAACAAAACCCCTTGGAAAAAAACCACAAAACACCAAACCAACCAACCCTTCTATATATAAATTTTATAATTTAGCTATTTTATTATCGTCGTACTTCATAACCATTTGTTCATTTCGGAAGCTTCAATACTTTTACCTCTACCACTTTATTACAATTATTTTTTTATAAATTAAAACCAGAAAATACAATATTGGAACAAAAAAAATACAAAAATCTTTAAGAAAAAACCTAACCAAATCTGTTGAAAACAATGTTTTTCTTTTTTTTTAATTAACTTTTAGTAAAAACATGAAAAATATCAAATAAAGGAAATCATAAAAATACAAACAATTATTTTAGTTAAACCTTTTTTTTAATTCATATTCATATCAGCAGCAAGACAAAGGTCATGTGAAAAAAAAAAAACAAAAAAATTAAAACCTCATTTTAATCGCACTACCGGTGACCAACAACAAAACCCACAAAGGAAAAAATAAATTTCTTAACCTTCAAATATTTAAATGCCTCGCAAAGTGTGGTCTCTCTAGAATATATAAAATTTCTGATTTTTTGTTCGCATTTATATTTTTTTTTTTTGGAAAATCTATAATTAGATCATTTATATCTATCCCACCACTATAAATTCGTGTGTAACATTTGCTGTAGGTATATGTATAAAATATTCTATAGTATGCGTCAAAATTAAATTCTTGTTCTTTGTTTCAAATGCAAATGTGGGGGAGGGAGGACTATCGTTGAGCAGGGGATACAATTTTGAAGAATCTAACCTGTAATCACTAAATTTGTCATTTATACAACTCATGGAATTTCTTAAATTAATTCCATTTGTTAATATTCTCGTATTCCCCAAATGAAATTGCATTAATAACCTTGAACTTTTTTTTTGTGTTGCTGTTGTTAGTGCGAAACAAAAGTGAGTTTTGTTTTTATGACTCATCATAAGTGAAAAAGATGTTGTTTATGGCCAGTTTCATTTGTTCTATCCACTTTTTTCTTTGCCATTTATATTTAGTCAACCATTAAAGTTAACCTTAAAAGTGAAGTAAGTATTAGCGAATCAGCTGTTGTAGCAAGAAGCAAACGGAAATACAATTGATTTTAGGTACTACATCATAACAAAAAGTTATTTGCACCCTACGGTATGTTTTATTAGAGATAATTTTTTGGCTGTTAGAATTATTTTTAATAAAGGTCGAATCTTATATTCCCTTTACCATGAAATTTTTCTTTAAATCCAAATTCTGTCCATAGATAGTTGAGATATTAGTCAAATCCCCTAACACTCATATTCGATACCCCGCGGGACTGCCAATTGGTATTACTTCGCGGGGCGGGTTAGCCAGTTATCTTCTTTTCCAGTATCATCTGGTGGAACACGAACTTATGAGGTCTTGCATTGTCTCCCATATTATCATATCTTGTATTACCGCGAAGAATGTGTTAAAAACATCCCAGTGCTCTGCGTCTTCATCTTCTTCTTGGATATTGCAGACACCTGGAAGAGTTTTTGTGTCCGAATCTATGGATATAGCTTCTCTATCTATCTATCTATCTATCTATCTATCTATCTATCTATCTATCTATCTATCTATCTATCTATATCTATCTATCTATCTATATTTATCTATTTATCTATATCTATCTATCTATCTATCTATCTATCTATCTATCTATCTATCTATCTATCTATCTATCTATCTATCTATCTATCTATCTATGTCTATCTATCTATCTATCTATCTATCTATCTATCTATCTATCTATCTATCTATCTATCTATCTATCTATCTATCTATATCTATCTATCTATCTATCATCTATCTATCTATCTATTTATCTATCTATCTGTTATTTCATTAAAATAAGCGATCCTTCGCTAGTGATTTTTACATTAAAATTTCAGTTTGAATTTATCATTTCCCTAAAAGATTTCAAATCGCTTTGATTTTATTACAAGTAACAGTCGAAATCAACCCATCAATATTAATTACCGTAAAAATTTCAGGCAATTTTGGAAATTACTTTAAAAATATGTGCTGCCAAGTTTTTTTAACTGGGCTGTCAAATTCTTTAATAAAACAAACAGCCACCTGTGGTTTTTATTGTTTACATGTACACAAACATATTTCTCTAAAAGAAATCTTATCAATATTGCAAGTTTTGGACATTGGACTAACAAGCAATTGGAGGAGAAACAATAGTAAATATTTTCTCGACAAACTTTTGACGAGGGCTTGTTATTACACCCAAATTTTGAAAGAAAAACAAACATTAATATGCAAAATAACGGTAGTCTAAAAGGCAAGACCTTATTTATAACCGGTGCCTCTAGGGGAATTGGTTTGGCTATAGCTATAAAAGCTGCTCGTGATGGTGCCAATGTTGTAATAGCTGCTAAAACTGCTGATCCTCATCCAAAATTGGCAGGAACTATTTATACAGCAGCTGAAGAAAGTAAGTTTTCTTAAGTACCCAGTTGGTTTCTATTTAACTAATTGGAATATTTAGTTGAAAAGGCTGGTGGCAAAGCTTTGGCCTGTATTGTTGATGTGCGTAATGAAGAACAAGTGAAAAAGGCTGTTAAAGCTGCTGTGGATAAATTTGGTGGTATTGATATTTTAATAAACAATGCTAGTGCCATTTCATTGACAGGTACTTTGGATACAGAAATGAAACGTTATGATCTTATGCATAATATAAATACCCGAGGAACTTTCTTAGTGTAAGTGTTAGATGGTAAATTGAGAATATAATAATGTTTCCCTGTTTCTTTAAATAGTTCCAAAGAATGTTTACCTTATCTGCTGAAAAGTAAACATGGTCATATCTTAAACATTTCACCACCCTTGAGCATGAAACCTATGTGGTTTAGTAATCATGTTGCCTATACTATTGCCAAATACGGCATGTCTATGTGTGTTTTGGGTATGGCCGAAGAGTTCAAAGATCATAATGTTGTCGTAAATGCTCTATGGCCTCAAACTGCTATACACACAGCAGCTATTGAAATGCTTAATGGTCCGGAGAGTTCTAAATATGCACGTAAACCTGATATAATGGCTGATGCTGCCTATGCTATATTGTCTAAAGCACCTTCTCAGTCTGCTACCGGTCAATTCTATATCGATGAAGAAGTTTTACTTAAGGAGGGTATTCGTGATTTCAAACAATATGCCTGTGATCCAGCTAATGCCGATAATTTACAACAAGATTTCTTTTTGGATAATGTTGTATCAAAGCTGTAAATAGTTTTTAGATCTTTTATTTAAAATTTAGAATGTATTCCTGCATTTTTGCATACAATGTTTTATTGTTGTTAGCTGAGGGTATGAAAATAAATAATATAAAGACTAATGGTACCATAACAAGTAGCAGTGGTAAATAGGGTCCTGAATTTAAACTTTTTTTGAAAAAGACTATACACTGGACTATATGCAACACAAAAGACTAGAATATAGACTTCGACTTAGACTAGTCTATAGACTAAACTATAGACTAGACTATAGAATAGACTATAGACTAGACTATAGACTAGACTATAGACTAGACTATAGATTGGACTATAGACTAGACTATACAAACATACAGACATCACTGAATCAACTTCGGTATCTATTAGGATTCGTAGGGTCGAAAATTTATTTTGTGGAAATTAAAAACGGATGACAAACTCTTCCCTTGAAGTGAAGGATATAAAATGTTAATTTTAAGTTTTAACTCAGATTTTTCTTTTATAATGCAAAATAAAATTAAATTGTTTATAAGGCATTTTGTTTTTTGAGGATGAGGGATTTTTCCTTTTATATGGTAAACATTAAAAATAAGCAATGTGGCAGCATAGATATTTTGACAGAACTACTTTTGTTGCTTTTGTAGAATTTTACATCACCTTATTGAATGCACCTTGCACAGAATCATAACATTCTGTGACAGCAGAAGTCTGTCAAATAAATAAATAAAAATAATAATAAAGTGATAAAAATTGAAAAAAACTAAAATAAATA